TATCTTAAATAATTTTTGAGATATAACGAAAAAAAGAAAAATTAATTTACATATAAAGGGTGGTTTCATACCTTTAAACCGTTTTTTAGCCCCAACTGATAATTTTTAAATTCATCTATTTATATGATCTCAAAGTGTACTGATATTTGATTATATATGAAACCATTGTACACAAAAATGATTGCGTTTTGTCGGTAAAACAAACGATTTCAGCAACCCCTTAAAAAAAGTTGTTGTTTCAGCAAGACATCTGCGGTCGAAACGCTTTACGGCGTCCCTGACAAACCCTTGCCGACTCGGATTGCTGAAATGGATGTCGAATGTTGACGCAGCTTAATTTTTTTCACGGTCGCTTACCATCCTCGAGAGTCGACGCCACAACTTCCTGCGTCATGGGACCGGGTCCGAGGGCGTTGAACGCTTGAACGACCACGCTGTAACGCGTGAACTTCTTCAAGTTCGTCAAATGATGCTGGCGTCCGGGCATGGACGTTCTTGCCAAACCCAGAGCGACGCTCGCCGTCGAGATCCGTCTTTCCACGGTTTTATACGTGTACTGCTCCGCCCCCAACCTGAATTTCGCAAGAGAGTGTTCGTTACACCTGGCTCGTATGATTAATTAGTTTGCCGAAAGGGTGTCAAGTGTCTCCTTTTACCCCAAAACTTTGGGCGAAGTTTCGAGGGCAAACTTGGGATTAGATTACTGTGTGAAAAATGCAAAGATAATATGGAATTATGTACATGACACACTTGGCAGAAGGTATAACAAGATAAACTTAAAATAGTAATTATAAATATATAACAGCAAGAAAAATCGAAAATTTTGCTTTTTACATAAATATTCCAAAATATGCAGTTTATATAAAGTAAGAGATAAGTGAGAAGAGCTATGCAGAAAGAGAGAAATAGAAAGAGGGGAGGGAGGAGGAGAAAGCTTGTACACGGAAAGAACAATTTTGCTGAATCCAGATCTGAAAATAATTTTTGTTCAATAATCAAAATTATTTTGTACAAAAGTCAAAATGATTGCTTGAATATCAACACGTTTTATAGCAATACTTATCAGTTTTAACATTCTAATTACAAATTATTTTGATAATTCAATAAAAAATTATTTTCAGATCTGTTTTTAGCAAAATTTTTATGTCTTTCAACAAAATCGTTCTTTCCGTGTACATTAAATTAAAATGCAGAATTAAAATTCTAATGGAGACAAGTATAAGTGGTAAAAAGGTAAAGTAAAAATGGCAGAACCGTGTATATACGTATAAGTTACACGATCGAATTTATATCGATCCAGCCGAAAGTAATTAGCATCCTAGAAAGACGGGGAAAAAAAATGATATATAGAATTTAACTAGTTTGTGGTAAAAACGCTCTACAATAAAAGCGTACTGGAACGATGTAACAAAAGGTCGGTGTAAAAAAAAGCCTATAGTTTTTCGAGGATTTGTCAGCGTTGCCCTAGGCGGATAAATAACTGACCCCGAGATAGCTCGTCGTTTATTAATGGCGCGTGAATTCTACGGTATCAGCTCTGTGGGCTGAAATACAGGAAGTTGGAGGCCGTGTGCGCCGAGTGTATATATATATATATATATA